TAATAACACCCTTTTCCACTTCAGTCTAAGTGGCCAGGGACTGCCTCCTGAGCTGGGCCTGCCAGTACGCACGCCCGCCCCACACCCCGTGAGGCTTCTAGTGTCGGGCGTCTTACCCGGGCCTCCTCTACCCCGGACGCATCCCTGAGAGGAACCTCCGGTCTTAGCTCCAACCTCGGACTTTGACCCCACCTCCGCTTATACCCATTGTATTGGTTAGCTCATTCCATTTAATTGCCTTTGCCAATATTCTGGAGTTTAACTTCTGAGTTTGGACTGGACTTATGTCGGACCTTGCAACTATTGCATTGCTCCATTCAATTCCACTATTCTCCCTCATTCCTATTTGGGCTGCTGCTTCCTTTCTATTCAGTCAGCTAGCCATTCCCCACTCCCATCCTCCCTCCTTCCTCCTTGGGCCTTGGCCCTTCACTCCTCCTTTGGGAAACACCATTGAGTCAAACCCTTGACCCTCGGTGTTGTTCCTTCTTTCAGCTCCCTTTGTCTCCTTTCGGAGTACCCTTGCTCCTTTTGATTCTGGACCCCTCCTTATATACAATGTACATAGTAACTTGTAACCTCAGTCCGAAATCGACCTGAAATGCCCCCTAGTGACTTTCCCTCTCCTAGATCCGAAATTAGGGACCCCCAGGACAACCAGCAATGGCACAGTGCTCCGCCTGAGTCACTGAGGCCGAGGTCCTTCCATGCTAAGTCTCCGATTCCACTCCGGAGTCGTCTGTATCAGCCCTGTTCTAACACAGTGTGTCCTAGACATTAGACAAGGTCCATTTGACAAAGGCGATGTAAGAACATCTTTGGAATTGATGAGGGAAGGTGTGTGTCAACCAGTGGTGTGAGGTCCGAAGGTTAATGGAAGAGTAAGTGGAGGTGGATGAGTTGGGTTGTGGGCGAGGAGGTCCGGACAAGGTAAGCTCAAGACTATCACTCAACAGAGCACATAGGAGAGACAAGTTGTGCCATGAGACATCAGAACCACAAGTCAAGCCAGCCAGGGTGGCATAGAAACGTCATCAGAAGAGAGGAGGACATAGTATCAACCAATGGGATGAGGTCCGAAGGAAGATGGGGCCAGATGGGTTGGAAGCGGAGCATGGCTCGCTATCCTGGAGTAGAGTGCTCAGCATTACTGATGGAATGCCAGGCGGTGGGGAGTGCAATGGAGAATCAGGTGAAGTGTCTGCCGATGGACAAAGTCCGAAAGGCAAACTGAGGTGATATATCGCGGAAATAGACTGGGATGTTCAGAGTACAGACTAGGTAACTGCTCTTAAACCCTCGATCAATGGATCGATAATGGGCGAGTCAGTAGGTGTCCCAGATCTAAGAGACAAGATCCATCTATGGGTTGACAAAGGAATTGTCCAGGTTGATTCAAACCAAGGTGAAGCGGACTGGGTAGGTCGATGGCCTGAGAGGAGCTGTGAAGTACGCTGCCAGGATGGGCGAGATGCAGGATCCTTGGGGCACCCCTGTTGAGATGGGCTTGAGTTGGCCACATTTCCCATCTAGACAAATTGCTCCTTTACGTTCCTGTAGGAAACTGAGGACCCATTTCACGATGGGGAGTGGTATACTCATCCTCCTGAGTGTATCGATAAGGTGTGGGTGGGGAATGTTGTTGAAGAAGCCAGTTATGTCGAAGGTTAACATGGAGACTACTCTTTTGTGGTTCCATGCTGCTTCTATGTCATGTATGATAGACATCAGTGCATCTTGCGCTGACCTGCCCTGTCATATCCATCCCCAGCCATCGACTTCCACTCCCTCCAATCCCTCCGGTCTACCTCCGCTCCTTCTTCACTAACCTCGGAGCTCCCATATTCTGCAATCGCCTCGGTACCTCTTGATGGTCACCACCCCCTCTTTTCAATTTATTACCTATGCCTCCCTAAGTATGGAGCCCCGAAGGCTTCCAGACAGCTCCAATGTCTGCTAGTGCACTCCCGCCTCTGCGGGGCAATATACTCACTTGCCCTGCAAGCCCATCTTCGGGCCTATCCCTCCTTTCTGTTTCTGGGTTATTGTCTACCATTTGGTTAACCCCGTAACCCAACTTGTCGGTAATATTCAATCAGCTAATGTCTAATCCTGTTAGCTCCGCTCCGCTCAGCTCCGCCATTTGCGGACCCGCCCTCATTGTAACTATATATATACTCAACTTGTACATAGGTTACACCTCAGTGATAAAATCGACTAGAGTTTGCCCCCTTCAGTTCTGGTTGCCAGTTCAGTAAGTTAGGGCACAGACGTGTTACTTGGCACAGCGCTCCTGGCATAAGTCACTGAGGCCGAAGCCCTCCACCACGGAGACACTCCTTTTGTCTCAAACCTGGTCTCTGACACCCAGTAGGCCCCCATACTGTGTGGTGGGGAAGAGGTGGTACTTAGCTGCAATGTATGCTAGTCTGCGGGCCTGTATTTTCTCGAGCGCTTTCCCTAATACTTCCAGTAGCTGGATTAGTCAGTAAGAGCGCAGGAGGGAGTAGTCTCGATTCGGTTTCTGTAGGGCAACCGCTATCAATGTGTGCCATTTCAGAGGGTGGTAGCCAGAGTCCACACAGAGTCTTATGAGGTGGAAGATTTGTTCATCCATCACGTCCCAGGCCCATCTCCATGCTCTGCCCATGAGTCCGGATATCCCAGGCACATTGAGTTGAGCTGCTGTGAAAATGGTGTTCTTTACTTCGTTCTTTGTGACACTGACATATTCCATGTCTGTGTTCCGGGGTTCTAGCGATATGGGTGGGGGGTTTGAGTGTGTCAGGGGGGGTGGGAAGAGATGGGAATGTAGAACATTGCATTTTTCTTCATGTGTACTGGCCAGTGGGAGGCCATTAGTCTGGTGGATGGGTGGCAAGATGTAGGTGCATTGGCACTTCGTCCATTTCCTGAAGTTCCATACATTCCATGCATCTGCCTCCTCAGTGAGTTGATGGTAGTAGTCCTGTTTGGCTTTTCTTATTTTCTGTCGGATCTCTTTACTGATCTCTTTAATGCAATCTGCTAGGAAGATGGATGGCTGGTGGAAGTCATGCATCCAGTCTCTCAGGGTCTCATGGGTTGAGTGTAGATCGTGGTAAGCCTTGGAGAGGTCCTCGTTCCACCATGGTTTGGAGGCCTTACTCAGCTTATGTGTGGGTACCGACTTGGTGGCTGCTCTTTCCAGGAGGCCTTGTATGAGATTGGTCACCTGGTTTAATTCTCCAGGCATCACTGTTAGGATCATGCTATTCAAGGTGTTGTGGGTTAGGGATGTTAGTTCTGCGCATGAGGCTTGTATTTCAGCCCTTAAGGCTGTTGGAATTTGTACACGTGGTCTTGGGAACCTAAATGCTAAAATATGGACATTCTGGGAGTCGAACCGCAGAACCCTGCATAGGTACCAAGAGTGTGTTACCATTACACTAAATTCCCACATTAGGCAGAGGTGGTTTCTAACAAAGGCATCTTTAAAATTATCTGCATCTGCATGTTTCCAGTTGAGTCTGGTGTCACACGGGTTTTTGACTGTTTCCCGAGGGGCCTAGTAGGAAGGTCTGGGCATGGTGGTCTGATAGACAACCTATGTTTGTGTCGATGAGGTGATTTGTCACTACGCTTGCACCTTCAGCTGCTGCATTGGGTCTATGACTGATGTGTGGCCCATGTGGTCTTCCCTTGTGGGAATAAAGGGTTCATTGACTAGGGAGAAGGTGTTCCGTTCCAGCCATTGTAGGGTTTCTGCTGTGCGAGCACATGGGGAAGTGATGTGATCATCCCAATTTGGATGGCGTATGTTCCAGTCACCGGTTATGACTGTTGGGGTGTCAGCATCTAGGTGGGTGTTCGCGAGCCTGTCAACAGTGAACTCCCTGTTTTGCAGCTCACCTAGTACTTTCTGGTTGTATATATTAATCAGTTTGGTTGGCAGTTGGCTGGAGCCTGTCCTTCAGATGTCCATTATCATGAAATCCAGATCCTTTGCCAGGTCATTTCTGAGGGTGAGTTCTATCTGGGCATTGAGGCAGTAGTATGCCATCACCCTAGGTCTATTGCCTTCGGGGACCGGGAGCATGGGGAGTACGGCTTGCCACCCCTTTAGGGCAACTGAGATGAAGGAGTTGTTCAGTTTCTCCCACCACAGTTCCTGGATTAGTAGTATGTCAAACACTGGATTCTTTCTGCTGGTCACCATCTGCATTGCTGCTTGTGTGGTGGAATTGGATCTATTAACGTTGATGCTGCAGATCGATAGGGTTGACATTAGTTTTTGTTGTCTAGGCATTGGGAATATGATGTTGGCCCATCTCTATGTCCATCTGGGACACTGAAGTGAATGGTGTGAGAGGCGCTTGTTCCTGAGTTGGCCTTGTGGGGGTGCAGTGCAGCGGTTTCATCCTGGTTTTTTCCTGGATAAGTCTTGCTGTTGTGGTTCTCTGGTCCTCCAGATTCTCCTTGTCAAGGATGTTCAATATGTCGCTTGCCAAGAGGCCTATGTGCTCTAGGGGGTCTGATGGTTCAGAGGTTGGCAGAGCCGTGTTCCATTTGTTCCTGATCTGTTCCAGGTTGTCAAGGGCTGAGTTTGCTGCATTTGCTGCGTTGGGATGCTGGAGAGTCGGCATTGCTGCAGGTAGGCCCATGCAGCTACATCTGTGTTATAGGAATGGAGTCTCTCGCGACCGTGTCGACTGAACGTCAACCACAGCGGGTCCTCCTCCACATCCTCCCATCTCTTCCTTACATTCTCCCCACTTCCCCCCTTCTTACACACTCACTCCGCACTAAGCTTTCCCTTATTGGGTTTTGGTGCTGGCCGGATTATTTATTCTATTTCGCGAGATTTCTCGTGATCATTTCTTATTCAATAGTTAGCATCACATTCATGTATGGCTACAGCCGAAAAAGATGGAACGAAAACGAATAACACACCCTCACCTTCTGTGCAACAATTGTAAACCTCCTTGTGCTAACACTGTAACGTCTGTGTAAGATTGTATATGTCTCGGTCACCATCTATATGGGTCATCCCTACTGAGGATGACGACTCTGGCCATGGATCATCGAGTTCGTGTGTGACTCAACTCAGGTATGCACGAATGCCTTCTGTTATGACTCACGTCGCTCGCCCAGGTACTGGGCTCACATCTGTCTCACCTTATGGTGAGCATCTGGTTAACTCTATGGATGGAGTGGTATTCGATACAAGCCCATTCCCCTCATCGTCGGTACGTGTCAGGGCAATAGCCCCGAACCCCGAGTCACATGTAAACTAGATACATATAGTCACGTGGACAAGCGGGAACCTCTGGGTAACCGCTTACACACCACCGTAAAATACACCATCTTGTATCACTTATGGCCTTGTGTGCTGAGCAACCCTAAGACCTCACAGTACGCTCTCGCGAGCGCCAAGTAGCCATCGATCCCACCACATGTTGTTCGACCTATGATCGACTAACCCCTCTGTCACCAGTACACTCATATGAGCACCAAGTACCTGTTGACACGAATACAGACCGTTCGCCAAACGAACGGTCTCATACCCTGTTGCCGGTACGCCCATCTGGGTGCCAAGTATCTGTCAACCCAGCCTCAAGTAGTTCCCTCAAGGAGCTGGAATCTCACTCGTTGCCAGTACGCCCATCTGGGTGCCAAGTACCCATCAACCAGATCTCAGGAAGCTCCCTCAAGGAGCTGTTATATCACTCGCTACCAGTACACTCCCTCGAGCGCCAAGTACCCACTAGCCCTTTGTCCTCGACTGGTCCAGTTCTGGATATCCCCTTTGCCTGTGACCCTATACACCCACACACAGTATGCTCACATAACGAGCACCAAGTATCCATCGTAGCAGACTCCCATTCACCATGAGGTCCCAGCTTTCTGTCAAAAGCTCCAAGGCTATCGGACAATACTCATTACACAACTAGGCCACCCTACATACATGAGGTCGACGATTCCAAGTCGTCTATAAGGACGGAAAGAAATGGATTACCCATAACCCATTTCTTTAACAGTCTGGCCTTGCATTCCTTGAATGAGCTTGCATGTTGCTCTTTGCAGTTCACACATTTCAGACATGTGTTCTCTGGATGGTCATTTGTGGTGTGGTCTTTTGCACCGCATTTGAGGCATCTGGGTTGGTGACAGGTTTCTGTGCAGTGCGACAACATTCCACATTTACTGCATGCATAGATTTGGGGCCAGTCTGTCATATCTGTACAATCCTGACCTCCGCTCCAGGCTCCCAGAACTCTGAAACTGACTTCCAGAGTCCTACTTCCCTTCTGCCACCTCCTCCTTGCTGACTTCCAAGAGGTTATCCCACCTCCAGCTCCAACACCACCTTTGGTCCGACTCCGGAACATTCCGGGTCCAACCTCATCCTCGACACCTTCCAGACGAGCACGCAACACCTATGCTCCTGACTCCGGACCTCCGCTCCGGAATCCCGGTTGCATCTCCATCTCTGGAACCTCCGGTCTTAGCTCCGACCTCGGACTGTGACCCCACCTCCGCTTATACCCATTGTATTGGTTAGCTCATTCCATTTAATTATGTTTGCCAATATTCCAGAGTTTAACTTCCAAGTTCGGACTTTCCGGACTTACATCAGACCTTGCAACTGTTGCATTGCTCCATTCAATTCTGCTATTCTCCCTCATTCCTATTTGGGCTGCTGCTTCCTTTCTATTCAGTCAGCTGGCCATTCCCCACTCCCTTCCTCCTTCCTTCCTCCTTGGGCCTTGGCCCTTCACTCCTCCTTTGGGAAACACCATTGAGTCAAACACTTGACCCTTGGTGTTGTTCCTCCTTCCAGCTCCCTTTGTCTGCTTTTGGAGTACCCTTGCTCCTTTTGATTCCGGACCCCTCCTTATATACAATGTACATAGTAACTTGTAACCTCAGTCTGAAATCGACTTGAATTCCCCCAAGAGACTTCCCCTCTGCTAGATCCGAAATTACGGACCCCTAGGACAACCAGCAATGGCACAGCACTCCGCCTGAGTCGCTGAGGCCAAGGTCCTTCCACGCTAAGTCTCTGATTCCACTCTGGAGTCATCCAAATCCGCCCATTCCAACACGGTCCTCATATGGTGTGATTGTGCATCTGTAGTTAAACAAATATACTGATTTCAGGCTAAGCATAGCCTCTCTGTCTGCTTTGTTAGCAAGGTCGATGACAATAGAAGCGAAGTTCTTAGCACATGTAGTATCTTCTGATCCCAGCCATTTTGGAGAGCGCCATACTCTCATGTCGTTGTATGGGGGGATGTACATGCATAATTTGCTCTGGATCATGCTTAGCGTCATTGGTTCATTGTTCCCACAGTGGGTGGGGATTTCGTTAATTTTGATGTGGTAGTGCTCCATGTTGGGGAGTATGGATAGGACTTCATTTGACATGATCAGGGCCGCTATCTCCTGGCCGTATTCCATCAAGTCGGAGGCTTTGCAGGTTGGTGCTGTGGTGATTTTAATGTTGCCAGCCATGGAATATCCTAACGCCATCACCCTGAGGTAATGTGGAAGGTTCTTCCGTTCTAGCATGTCGTTGATCTTCTTCCAGATTTCAATGCCATTCGGTTGTTGGTCATGCGGAACCGGGGGGTTGATGCAGATGATCAGGCTGTGGGGGTTTGCTGTGGAGCTGTGGTCTGTTTTGCCAGGCGTGTCCGGGTGTTGGGTTCTGATTCCTTTGTCCAGTTGACTGGTTGCTCAACTCTGTGTTGGTTTCAGGGGGGTTTTCGCCATGTTGGCCCATGTCTTCTGTGGGGACGCCATGGGTGCTGCCACGGTCTCTGGGTCCCTACTGGTTGTGTTTGACACTTTATAGGATAGTAGCTCTTTTTCTAAAGTCCTTATTCTATCAGTTAGATATGCATTTGATGAGGATAGATTGGTGATGTTAGCTTCAGCCTCCGCTAGGCATTCCTCTGTTCCTTTTCCTACCATGATCGCATCCCCTAAGGGTGTGAATTCGGATCTGGGTAGGCTAAGGTACCAGTGCATGTACATCGGGAGAAAGTCTTGCCATAATTCTTTGTTCGCTATGCCAGCTATTAGGTTCATGATTTTGGCCATGTACCAGCTGGCTTCTTCTAAGCCATTCCAGTTTTCATCGTTTTCAGGTTCATCTTTCTGTGGTTCTTCCTCTTCCATTTCCTCTACCTCAGACTGTTGGCCCTCGATGTGTGGGTGCGGGGGCGTTGAGATTGTCATGACCTTCGTGGTTTCATGGTGTGCTACCTCATCGGGAGAGGGGGGCCTGAATGATGGGATGCTAGTTATGTTCAGGGCCTCGTTTGGTGATTGGGCTTCCAGGTGGTCCTCACTCCATGTTCAGGTTGTGTGATCCGTTGCTTCTTTCCAGGGGTCGTGTTCCTCCATGGGAGGAGTGCCAGTCTGCCCCTGATAGTGGACAGTTTATTCCTGTGCACGGCTTTCTGGTGTGGCTGCTGCGGTGTGCCTGAGTTCGTGTGGTAGGTCAACTTAGCCTGAAGCCGGGTGCTGACCTGGTTTGCCAGTTTCTGACGACCTGTTTTACCTCCTGGGTCAGACATCAAGTGATCGTCCATTGTTAGGAGATCAGTGGGGGGAGTATGGGGGGGCGGCTTGGGGTGGGGAGGCTTGGGTGTGGATTTTGTGATCTCGCTAGACATTTACCCCCTCTTTTCGAGATGGTGTCACATGGCACAGCAGGGGGTGGTGAGAGGCTGCAGTTCTCAGTTGCTTATGTAAGGCATGCAGGAGTTACCTTATGGCTAGGATTCAAAAATGCTTGTTCAAGTTCCAGGACTGAGTAGGGATTCGCTGGGCTTGGTGATTCAAAAGCTATGAGGTGACATCCACTGACAGGGATTCCCTAGCAGTACTGGCTGACCACCTCTCTCGACTAGTTCAGGAGACTGATACGGAGTGGAGTGAATCCTGCTTCTATGCTGGCACGTGTTCAAGACATGCATATATCTGTGGTGTTTAATTCTCGAATTGCATGATGTGCTTCTCACACTTCCTCGTTGCAGTTTGCCTTTCCATCCAGTGCCCCCATGGGAATTTGTAAGTTGCATTCCAGCCAGGGTTCCCCTGCTGCTCAAGTTTTTCTCTGGCAGTTCCTGGGAAATTGATCAAAGGTGGGATCAATTGTTTCTGCTCCTACGACGTGATGCAAGTTCCAATGCACGCAATCAGGGAGGCACTAAATGTTGATTTGCTTAACCACCCTCATCACCATGAGAACCCATTCAATAATGGGGTATACATGTCCCCCAACATGGGCGCTTAGTTAAAGCTGCTCCCCCATTATCATGAATGATGTCCATCGTTTGACACCCTCAACCTGTACTACATGCTTCTGTGTCCAACACAGTCTTGTACCTATGAGAATTCATTCTGAGTTTCCCAAATGGGCTTCCAGTTGAAGGTGCCAGTTCCCACCCACAAAACCCCTGCCATTTGGGGCCTCTAACCAGAATACGACTATGCATTGTACTTTAAATAAACTCCCATTCAATGCCCCATAGCCATTGAATATCGTTGAACCCTATTGATCAATAATGTTGATGCATTGCATTAACCACCTGGTGCTCATCTTGAGTCAAGCACAACTGTGAGACAGCATGATGCTGTTCACCTCAAAGTCAGCCATAATATTGTCAGCACACTACAGCTGACCATCTCAACCAAAACCCCTAATGAAAGGATGGTAGTGCCTGGGGAATACTCATGACAGACATGCATCGGAATTATTAATGCATGTGCTATGGCTGTGTGACATAAGTTTGAAGAAAAGTCATATCTGCATTGTTTTAGCATGTTTATACCCCGTTCAACTGATGTTCTGTAGCCTAATTGGGTACCTTGAAGCTAACACACAAATCGAACGAATGTTTTTAATTTTGATTGTCCCCTGTCATGTTCATACCAACCCCTGTCCGGAACCAACCAAGTGCCGATTTCCCACTCAATTGTTAAAAAATGGGCGGAAGCAGACGACTCTGGAGTGGAATTGGAGACTTAGCGTGGAGGGACCTTGGCCTCAGCAACTCAAGCGGAGCGCTGTGCCATTGCTGTTTGTCCATTTGGTCCTGAATTTCACAGTAGGCGAGCAGGAAGTCTCTAGGGGGCATTTCAGGTCGATTTCGGACTGAGCCCAAAACAAGTATGTACAAGCACCGATATATATATAATGGAGGGGGCAAAGCACAAGGAAACAAAGGGGATCCGAATCAGAACGAAGATGTCCAAACGGGAACAAAGGGTAGACAGAAGCGGAGCGGTACCGAAGGTCACAAGGCAGGACCTGTGATACGTCCAAAAGGAGGTAGGGAGGGCGAGGCCCAGAGGGGCAGGAGGATGAGGAGAAGTGGGGATGATGACTAACTGGCTAAAATGGGAAGAAGCAGCAGTCCAAATAGGGATGAGGGGAAAACGCGAGAGATACATTACAAGCGGCAAAAGTGCCGAAGGCGATCCGCAAAGCTCGGAGGTTGCTGTCAGGAACGTGCCAGAAGCGTATCCAGGTGACCTGCGAGGCGTGCGAAGTCGTCTGGGCTCGTAAGGTCGGAGGGGCGGGACTTTTAGCTTCAGCGACTCGGGTGGAGCGCTGCACTTCGTTCTTACGTTGGTGTCCCAATTTCAGACAGAAGCCTTACGATGAGGATAAGAGTTTAGAGGGGGAATCCAAGTCGATATATGAACTAAGGTACATCCGGTGTAACCTACATGCGTTATAAACACAAGTAACTAAATGAGAGTGGCCCGGAAGGAGTGGTGGATCAAGCGCGATATTAATGAATGAAGAAAGGAACAAATAATCAATATTGGCAAACTTGGTCAACAAAAGGCAAGCAAGGAACAATAGGAAGAACAATAGTCCGCAGGCGGACAAAAGAGAAAAGGCCATCCGGCCATCTAGCAAGCCGTCCGGCTGGGGGCGGACAACAATGAAGCGGGCAACCTAGGTTGGAAGGTACGCACGCGAGGGAGGAAGTGCGGATGAGGGTGATGGGTCATCAGCAAACTTGGTAGGGAGCTCTTGGAGCTCTCAGAGCTCTCAGAGCTCTGTGAGCAAATTGAGTCTTTTTGCTGTGCACCCTCTACACATTGGGTGGAGAAAATTAAATGTTTGAATGATTTTATTCTCCTAAGGATGCAGAAGTGCAAAGATAATATGTATATACATTTTTGGAAATGCATATTCCATGGCCAGCATCATTACTTGAAACACTCTATGAGCTCTATGAGCTCACTGAGCTCATAGAGCTCATAGAGCTTTTTGTTTTTAAATCATGGATGGTCTTCATATCTCCATGAAATCTGCTTAGTTATTTTGGCACCAGTAGTGCAAAGATAATATGGATATATATGTGTGTAAAATGGCCATTGTCATTGCTCTGAAAGCTCTATGAGCTCTATGAACTCTATGAACTCAGTGGGCTCATAGAGCTCATATACCCTTTGTGTTTACTAAAATCAGCACCTTATTTTTTATTGCTATTTACAAAATTTGAGGAAAACTCTGAAATTCAAAAATTTGCACTTTATCTTTCATCTCATTTCTTGCTCAAAACTCAACCAATTTTGATGATTCTATGTGAATTGGAAAGCACCAAAGTGTGGCAATGTAACCATGCATGTTATGTAGGGTATAAATCAGTTTTAACAAAGTGTTCCAAATGAAGTAAATTGAAAATAAAGCAAACAAAAAGCTGATGTATTCTTCAGATATCATCCAAGCCTTTGACACCAAATTTCCCATGGTCAAAAAGCCATGGTTATTTGGCTCACTGTCAGGGCCCAGCCCTTGTTCTGTGACGGGCCCAGGGGGATCCTCCTAGTCGCTGGGGTATCTAGTCCCAGTCCGAGATCCTCAAACTCACTGAGGGGGCTAAACCTTCTCAACCTCCTCTACAAATGGGAGCCAGGAACTATACAGTTTTCAGCTCTTTGTTGACTCCCCATAAATGGCACCCCCCCGTGGGAACGAGCTGCTCACCCAGAAAGTTCCCACAGTTGTGGCTGTGATGGTTTCTGGGTGAGTAACTTACCCAGAACTTTCCCATGGGTCTGCATGCATGCGGGATTGTGGAATAGTGAGGGGCTGTGCCCTGACACTCACCAAAACATGGTGGGAGACTTTTCTAACACTGAAACATACATTGCTACATTGCCCCACTTTGGCACTTTCCAATGCACATTGAATTATCAAAAAAGTGAATTAATTTTTTTTCCAATTATTCCTAATTTCCTGAAATATCTCTCCCTAACTTATCCCAAAATTTCTGATTTTCCCCCTGATTTTTTGGACATTCTCCTTTTTTAGAAAGTCCCCATTTTCTGAATTTTCCTTAATTTTCCCTGACTTTTTTCAAGTTTTTAGAAACCCCCCAGTTCCCCCTCATTTTCCTCCCATTTTCCCCTTCATCCCCCCCCTCAATTTCCCCCCCATCCCCCCCTTCGATTTTCCCCTCATTCCCCCCCCAATTCCCACCTCAATTTCCCCCCATTTCTCCCCCATTCCCCCCTCCAAATTTCCCCTCATTCCCCCCCCCCCCATTCCTTCCCAATTTCCCCCTCATTCCCCCCCATTCCCCCCTCAATTTTCCCCTCAATTCCCTCCTCAATTTTCCCCCCATTCCCCCCCATCCTCCCCTCCAAATTTCCCCTCATTCCCCCCCATTTCCCCCTCCATTTCCTCCCCCATTTTCCCCCTCATTCCCCCCTCATTCCCCCCTCCAAATTTCACCCCATTCCCCCCCTCCATTTTCCCCCCACTTCCCCCTCAATTTCCTCCCTCATTTCCTCCCTCATTCCCCCCAATTCCCTCCTCATTTCCCCCTCCAAATGTCACCCCATTCCCCCCCTCCATTTTCCCCTCATTTTCCCCCTCATTTCCCCCCTCATCCCCCCCTCCAAATTTCCCCATTTCCCCCCTCATTTTCCCCCCATTTCCCCTTTAATTTTTCCCTCATTCCCCCTCCCAATTCCCCCCCAATTCCCCCCCATTCCCCCCCCTCAATTTTCCCCTCATTTCCCCCCCCATTTCCCCCCCTAAGTAATTTCAGATTAACTGCATTTATATCCCTACATTTGGTCTATATATTGATTGGGCTACATACCCTTGGTGTCTGGTGCCGCATTGGTGCTGAAAGTGAAGCTGAGTTTGTTCAGTCCCTTGTATGGTAGGGACTTGGCTATGGCTAGTCACATGATGCCATAGT